AAAATACTTTGCTCATTGACCTAGTAATTAAATGTACCCCTAAGTGTCAAAGAGAAAGAAAAACAATTACAAAACTCCCTGATGTCCACAGGAAAACATGTACACAAATGTTCACGGCAGGGTTATTGCTAATATCCCAAAACTGCAACAACCTGAATGTGCTTAAGTGGATGAATGATTAAACAAACTGTGGTATATCTATAAAATGGAATACTAATCAATGATGAAAAAGAAACTTACTATGTATGCCCAATTACTATATTTACACAATTACTCAGATAAATCTCAAAAGACTTACGCTAGGTGAAAAAAATATAAATCTCAAATGCTTATAAACTATATGATTCTATTTATATAATATTCTTTAAATAAAAAATTACAGACATGGAGAACAGATTTGTGATTGCTAAGGGTTAAGAATAAATATGACTATAAAGGGATAGCATAAGAAAATTTTGTTGTGAAAGAAAAATTCTGCGTTCTGATTATGGTATTGGTTATACTAATCCTATTAAAATATTAGCAAGAATAGGGCTGGAGTTGTGGCTCATCGGTAGAGCACTCGCCTAGAAAATGTGAGGCCCTGGGTTTGATCCTCAGCACCACATAAAAATGAATAAAATAAAAGTATTGTGTCCAACTAAAAAATAAATATTTAAGAAATATTAGCAAGAATAGTTAAAGAAGGAAAAATAAGCTAAATCTAAAATGTACACAGTAATGCAAGGAACCTAAAATAGCCAAACCAATCTTTAAAAGGAAAAAGCTGAAAGATTTGCACTAGTTGATTTCAAGATTTCTATAAAGCCCCAGTAATCAAGAAAGTGTGGTATTAGCAATGCCTAGGCAAATACACCAAGGGAAGAAAATAGAAAGTATATAAGTAGAACCACATATGTATGGTGGATTTTCAACTAAGTCATAAAGTCAATCCAACTGGAAGGGAAAGCCTCTTTAAACATTGCTGAAACAAAACACTAAATCTTAACTCTTTTTCACTCCACAAACAAAAATTATTTCAAGGTAGATCACAGACCTAAATATAAGAATTATATCTATAGTCGGGTATGGTGGCACATGCCTGTATATCCAGCAGCTTGGGAGGCTGAGGCAGGATCTCAAGTTCAAAGCCAACCTCAGCAACTTAATGAGGCCCCAACCAACTTAGTAAGATTCTGCTCAGAATACAAAAATATAAATAAATAAGAAGGGCTGGAGATATAGCTCAGCAGTTAAGCACCCCTGGATTCAATCCCTTGTACCAAAAAAAAAAAAAAAAAATCATACCTATAAAGCTCATAGGAAAAAACATAATGGAATATTTTTTACTTCAGTCATCCCCAAGTTTTTGAAAAAGATGAATACACTTACATATACACATACTGTAAAGAAAATATTGACAAACTGAACTTTATAAAAATTTAAAATTCTAATTATAAAAGATAAACAATAAAATCATGTTGCTGACCAAGTACTTGTATGTAAGGAACACAAATCAACAATAAAATAAAATATCCAAATTGCAGGATATGAGGTCAATATAGATAAATGAATTATATTTCTATATACAACATTTTTTAAAAGGTAAATAATCCAATTTAAAAACCAAGCAAAAATTTGGACAAATACTTCACAAAAGAAGACATACTAAGGACCACTTAGCACCTAAAAAGGTGCTCATCTTCATTAATATGCAGGAAAATGCAAAATAAAGCCATAATCAATACCATTTCAGACCCATTAGAATGCTCAAAATAAAATATGAAAATCTGTCAAGACTAATGTTGTTGAGGATGTGGAGCAATTGGAAACTTTGTATATTGTTGTTAGTATTGTAAAATGGTAACACCCCTTTGGTGATCTGTTTGGCAAATTGTAATAAAGTCAAACATATATTTAACCTATGACCCAAGAACTCCACCCCTGATATTTAGCCAAGAAAACGTACATTCACAAAGACTCCTATAGGGACGTGAACTGCAGCCTCATTCCTAATCATCCCAAACTGGAAACAAACCAAATACCCATTCAGTAGAGACTAGGAAAACAAGTTGTGTTAAATGCATACAATAAAATATACTCAATAATAATATTAATAATAGATGAATTTCTAATATAGGCAACAATGTAGAAGAATCTCAAAAAAACATGAAGCAACAGAAATTTTGCTCAAAAGAATACATTCAGGCAAGTCGAGGAGGCACATGCCTATAATCCCAGCAGCTTTCGAGGCTGGGGAAGGAGGATCCCCGCCAGTCTTGGCAACTTAACGAGACCCTCTCTAAATAAAATATAAAAAAGGGCTGGGGATATAGCTCAATGGTTAAGCACCCCTGAGTTCAACCCCTGGTACAAAAAAACAAAAAGCATTCAGCTGGGTATTGAGGTGGGAATCTGTGACCTGGGAGGCCCAAGCAGGAGGCTCGTGAGTGCAAGGCCAGCCTAGGCAATTTAAGTGAGCTCTGTCTCAAAATATAAAAACTAAATGGGGGCTGGGGTTGTGGCTCAAGCGGTAGCGTGCTCGCCTGGCATGCGTGCGGCCCGGGTTCGATCCTCAGCACCACATACAAACAAAGATGTTGTGTCTGCCGAGAACTGAAAAATAAATATTAA